TGTCGCCTGCAAATCTTACATGGCTAAGGTATTCTCCATCAATGGATATTTCTTTGTTTTGCCAGTTTATTTTGGTAAATACATTTTCTTGAGTTGTAGTGAAGAGCTTTGGTGATATTGAGTCTTCTTGTCGAACTCCTCTGTTAGTGGGAAATTCTGGAGTGTTTTTATAAATTTTTACCTTAGGTTTTACTTGTTTGTATATATTTGCTAAAGTTTTTATGTACGGTTTGTATATCTTTGTCACATCGTATTTGTAGAAATAAATGTACAGTACACTCAACCAACTTAAGCCTCCAAACGATTAACAGAATTCACAGAAAACTTTTCCTTGTAGTAAAAGGCACGGTAAGCTGCACTAGTGTTCTCCATAATGTTTAACACTTTGCTACATTTTAGGAATAAAATAAATATACGTGTCATTAATCCGTTGTTCATAGTTTTGCATATTTTGTTACATTTTTTTTAATAAATAGTATTCTTGCATAATTTTATTTAACGTAAATTTCTTTCACCTACTTGTTTAATATTTTTTTCTGAAACAAATACTACCGTGCTAAGGATAATTTTTATTCAAAGTAGATATCGTCGCTTGGATGCAGAAGTAGCCTAAGTCACAAAATGTTAATTTTACAGAAGAGCATTTTTTTGTTTTTTCTCAAAATATTATAAAATTCTATTATCAGAAAATTGTATAACAATGTTTAAGAAGCTACTTTCCCTACAGTTCATTGCTTTTATGATAAAAGCCACGTTCTAAAAAAAAGATGGACATAGAATAGTAAAGTCTCAACTGATATAGTCTATGTCCAAATTTGGACATAGAATATACTTACATGGAAGTACTTAGGCTAGTTCTGATTAATCCATAATATTAATAATCTAATCATGTCGTAGGTATAGGTATAAATTATTTTAACAATAACAGTGTACTTACTCATAAATCGTATATTGTCGGCTTTGAGGTTTAACAAATCAGTTTCTGAAATTATTAACAACTGGTCCGTGCTTTTTTAAAAAAAGACAGAAAATATTATTACTACTTAAAAAATCGAACAGATGGAACAAAAAATAAAATAAAACAAATAAATTTAACTTAAAATTAGGAACTGAAATTAAACAATTATGAATATTTAAACATGATTTTCTGAATCTTCCCCTGTTCTCTTTTCGTCATAAGGTAGGTTTTTTAAAAAGTCATGATATTGACATGAAATAACTGTTTTCTGTGTCTTTTTACCCTTTTTGACCAGATTATTATTTTATTTTAAATTTAATGTCTTTAAAATTGTATTTAAAAAACACATATTTGAATAGTCTTGCCGAGTTTGTAGAATTCTTAATTTATTCCAGTAAACTTTCTTATTAGATTAATCCTTGTCCCAATTAATGGATGTTTGTCCTAGAAGTTCTTTTAAGTCAAATATATTTTCTTGGTCTAATTCAACGACGTTATACGGGTTGTTCCTCTTTGCAGTTCTGACAATTGTGTACCATTGATGAGGAGAATAGACTGGAATATTACGTGATGCTCTTTCAATCACACTATTCTCCCTCATTTTGCGTGTGCCCTCGTTCCAGAATGCTATGGCAAATTGTTACCTTATATATAATTGAGAAATGTAATTGTATAATGAAAATAAGTATTTGTTTCTATTTTGTCCGGCACAATTGTCAGAAAAAAGTGCTGAAAAAAGTGGTACTCATTCGTACCTTGTACAATATTACCCTTTATAAAATTTAAAAGGCAACTACCTATTTTACAAGAGCCTCTCTTGCCTTTGGTTTTCTTACCACATATAACAATTGCATTCCTTATTACCCAGGTTGAAAATAGTTATAAGTTGATAATTTTAGCTTATAATACGTTAATCCAACTTCCAACTTTGATAACTGAAGTAGTTGTAAATCTAAAACTGCACAACAAATCTGTTGATTCTCCTCAGCTCTTTTTTTCTGCATCCTTAAATTCCCTGGCCAAATTTTTGTTTTTCAAGTGCAGTTGATACATTTCTTCAGCTGCTAATTTCTCTTCAGTAGACGATTGTTCGAATCCATGACTAACATACTTCAGTAATGTTCCTATCGGAACAGTATTCCTTATATAAATAATTCTGGAAATGTTAAGAGATGCAGGTAAATACAAACGTGTTGTGTTTTTTCTGCAATAGTAACTTTCAATTGTCTGAAAGGAATTTAAATGTTCTCGAATGGATTCTTTGACAGATTCGTTGAGTAAGGAGTTTTTGCATGCCTTTCCTCTTCTGTCTTCGGAAATCGTACCAGTGGAACAAGTTTTATTAGTACAGTTTTAACAACATGAGTACTTATACAAAAAGTATTTGAAAAAAAAATCTTACACACAGGTACTTTGATGTTGTCCTTTACAAAAGAATAATCAAACGTGAATGTTCTTCTACTCTATTGGTTTGGAGAAGGCGATTCTTCATTTTTCTCTAAAGCAATATTTATATTCTTTTGGTTAATTTTTGTTCTTTCTTTATTTTTTCTTTGCGCTAATTTTGAAACGAAATCTCGTTGTCTGTTGATGTCTCCAAGATTCCAGTAACGATCAAATATAGATTGCCTTTCTTCTTCAGAAATTTATAGAAATTTACGTCGCTACATTTCATTCTACAATGACATGGATCTTTCATTTTACGGGATGGTTGAAGTTTATTTTTCCAAGAGTTGTATTTCTTTCTGCTATTTCGAGATGTCTTTATTATATTTCTTCTTCAGAAAATCGGGTTTCTTTTTCTTTTGCGTGACTGTCTTATTAAGACTTCTTGATCAGGCTCCTGATCCAACAAAACAACTTTGGGTTCATTTTCCTCGTTATCGGAGCTATTTTAAATCGCGAATAAGCCTATGTCCTCAATATCTATACGTAAATTTATGCAGAACTAGTCTTCACGGTCAACTCATGCAGAACTAGTCTATGTCCGGCTAAGCGACGAAGATACAATCGGTTCACTGCGGTGCTCTTACATAGACTGATTCTGCATGAAAACTAACAACGGTACTGAACATAGGCTAGTTGTAAACTAGTTGTAAACATGGACATACAATACTTCTGCATCCAATGTAATGATGCTTTTACTTTTAAATTGACCTAAAATATCAAATTAGGCAAAAATGGACATAGGCTTAATTTGTTTTAAATACTTCGGAGTAAACTGGAACATTTTGTCAATTTAAATAGTGCTGGTTAGATTGACCATATATTTGTTAGTGTGTACCGTTTTTAAGTCGTCTGCAATTACGGGTTAGAGTTAGGGTTTTGGTAAATATATTTAACCTTTTATTATCAAATCAAAATACTTGTACTAAAAGTAAAATAATTGTGGGAAATATTTTAATTTGTTAATGTGCGGTTTCCAACCACTTCTTAACTTTTTATCAAACATAATTAAATTACAATCGGCATTCCTAATGATAATTAATCTAATTTGCTTAATGTGTTTAGGATCTTTGTAAGCGATTATATTATATTTTACTCCCCAAGCACCACAGTTAAGATGTTTCTGTCATATTGATTTAAATGCAGTATATAGTAATTCAAGTTGTAGTTTCAAGTGACCATCATGCCTAGACGTAAGTTGGATATTGATGAATTAATTGCAAATGTGCATAAATACTTTACCATTGAAAAGAGACAATTACCTTTACCGAAATAAATACCTTTAAAGTAATTATTATGTATAAATAAACGCGTTGGTGACGCACTCGTGATAAGTGAGAGTAAGCTAAAAACTGTAATAAAGACTGTAAAAGATTTTCAAGAAGATCTTACTGTGACTGAGTATCACGAAGACAAGAAAACAGCTTAAGATGAAATTAAGAGCTTTGAAACGTATTGAGAGATTTGGGATTTAAATTTAAAAAAGAAAATAATAGGTCACTTTTATACGAAAGTAGTAGTGTGGTTCACAAAAGAATTAAATTTTTAAGAGCATGTACTAGATTTAAACCTGAAAATGCAACACTCGTGTACTTAAGTGAGACATGGACATTTGCAAAGGGTGGAATTAAAAGCATTTGGTAAGACAACAGCATAAAATCAATAAAACATATAGATAACGAAGGCAAAAGACACATCATTCTTCATGCTGAAGAGAAGGAAGGCTTTATGGAAAACTCAGATTTGATTATTTCTTTAAAATCGAAATCAGCTGATTATCATGAAAACATGAATGCAGATATGTTTGTTAAATGGCTTAAGAAGAAACTGTTACCTAGTCTGAGTGAATCATCAGTTATAGTTTTAGATAATGCACCTTACCATTCAGAAATTTTGGAGAAACAACCAAAACAGTCGTGGCACGTACCGAGCATAAAAAATTGGTTAGTTAAAAATAATATCAATTTTCCGGAATACGTTTTTAAATCAGAGTTACTGATTTAAACTACTACTCATTTTCATTTAGTTTCTTATTTGTTCATTTCTAACTCTCTCTAAGTTTGTTTCTATTAGCTTTGGTGACGTCTCATACTTCCGAACCGTAAAGTGTAATATTTTGGACTATACTACCGTAAATATGTTTTTTGGTTTCTCGTCGAATTATTTTTTGCCAGAGAAGAGAGTTTAAGGCACGGGTCGCTGCTCTGCCTTTGTTTATTCTGTCTCTAATTTCATCTACGCTATTTCCCTTCTTGTTGAAAATGACCCCCAAATATTTGCAGGATTGTACGCCTTTGATTTTGTCCTCTTCCAAGACTAGGTTACATATTTCATCTGTTATCACTGAGAGATATTCTGATTTTGTCATATTTATGTTACTAGATGTTAAAATTAGAATTTTAATTTCTCTAACACTTGTTTGTTCTTTCCTTGGACGAGTTTTGACCAATACTTTTGTGAATGGAGCAATCCCTTTGTGTGAAATGTATCACTGTCGCGGTTTACTAGATATTTTTTACATAACTTTGTAATATTTCATTTACTATTATGTAGCGATTATTAAGAAATAAAGAATTAATAAAAACCAATATCTTACTCGGTATTTACAGCAGGAACCTCATCTATAATCATTATTCCTAATCTATCAGCCATATCCATAATTTCTTCCGCATATGGATAATGAGACGTTCTGTAAGCGTTGGCTCCGATCCATCGCATTAAGTTGTGGTCGCGTATAATCAGTGGCAGATCTAGTCCTTTTCCACGTATGTCAGAGTCTTCGTGTCTTCCAAATCCTCGCAGATAAACAGGCTTTCCGTTGATGGTAAAGGTCGTACTGTTCCAAGCTAATTCTCTTATACCAAATGGTTGGGAATAGGAGTCTAGGAGCAGGTTGTTGGAGTCATAAAGTTGAACCTGAAAAGTTAAAAATTTTTTAAATAAAACTGCTAATTTATTATTGCTTATGAGGTATGATTTGATGGTTAAAATTTAGAACGTAGATTTGAACAGAATATTAAAATTGACAAAACTCTTGTGCAGTTATGCACTGTTTCTAAAACTCATAATTCTTGCATTTTAAATATTCATTATTCATTTTAAATCTCTAAATATAAAAGTTTAAATGTTTAAAGCTGACAATAAAAACAGGCATAAGAAAGACTTTTCTGTGGATTGAATATCGCAGCTGTTTACAAATTGCGGCTTATAATACTACTTTCGGGTTTATATAATATTAACACCATAAATTTAAACTGAAAAAATAATGAAGTAATGCAGTAAAAACAATTAAAACCAGATCATGAAACGGTCCGCAGGTATCTTTAGCAAAGAGAAGAGTAAATCTAGTCTGCATCTATAAATCTATTTATTATTTGACACATTTTGTCTATTTTTGGGCCTTTCAGTGATCCCACGTTGTCGTAATTTATTTGGCTGCAGCATATTTTGTAGGACTGTCACTTTTAAGTCTTCTTCTTTTTCTGTCTTCTTGTCTATAGACTTTAAAGCTTGTTTCTTCTTCAATGTTTACCTCCTAAATTGTTTAAATTGTCGCACCATCTTTTTCTTGGTCTGCCAATACTTCCTTATCCATTTGGTGACTTATCTCATGCTATTCGTACTATTCTGTCCTCTGCCATTCTACTAATGTCTTCGTTCCACTCCTGTTTCCGTTTTGTCCCCCATCTATTTATGTCTTCTATATTGCATGCTTTTCTTATGTTTTCGCTTCTCTCCCTATCCTCCAGACTTTTCCCTGATATTCATCGGAGTATTTTCATCTCTGTTGTTTCTAGTAGTCGTCTCGTTTTAGATGTGTCAGGTCTTGTCTTCGCCTTGTATATAGGTCTAATTGCAGCTTTATAGATTCTTGTTTTTGTGTCTTGTCTTAGGTGTTTGTTCTTCCAGATTGTGTCATTAAGAGAACCCGCCGCTTTACTAGCTTTTAAGCTTTGTTGTCGTACTTCTTCTTCAACTTCTCTGTAACTAAATAAATCTGTTCCCAGGTATCTAAACCTTACTTATGTTGTCATAAATTTGGTTTTTTTGCTGATATTATTATATTGTATTTCTTGGCTGTTTTATTAAAGATGTGTGTTAATCTTTGGAGCTCGTCTTATGTCCCGGCGATTAATGCGGCGTCGTCTGCATAACATAATATTTGGATTTATTTGTTTCTTATTCTGTAGCCATGACCTTTACGTACTGATTATTTCGTCTATTATTATATTAAAGAGAAGTGGGCTTAACGGGTTACCCTGTCTGGCTCCGCTCTGTACTGGTATACATTGTGTTAGTTTTGTATTTATCTTTGCCTGTATTCGATTATGGAATTAGATGTGTTCGATGATTTTTATAATATTGATTGGGATGTATCTTTTATATAGTAGGTGTGAGACGTCTTCGACTTGGATGCGATCGAAAGCCTTTGTCAGGTCTATAAAACATAGATATACTGGTTTATTGTACACGATGGCCTTTTCTGTGGTTTGTCAGTACAAATACGGCGTCTACGCAAGATCTTCCGGATCTAAATGCTTGCTGTTCATCTGAAAAAGTTGTTAGTTTATTGATTTTATGGGTTAAAGTTGTGATAAGCTTAAGTGCGGTCTTCAGTAGATTCATATCTCTATAAATGTTGGGGTCTTCTTTATCTCCTTTCTTGAACATTGGTATCTTCTTTTTCTTCTTCTTTCTTCTTGTATATAGGCTTTAAAGGCTGTTTTTTCTTCAATATTTGCCTCCTAAATTGTTTAAATTGTCGCAGCATTTTTTTGGTGACTTATCTCGTGCTATTCGTACTATTCTGTCCTCTGTTATTCTACTGATGTGTTCGTTTTACTCCTATCTTCGTTCTGTCACCTATCCATTTATGTCTTCTATATTGCATGCTCTTCTTATGCTTTCGCTTCTCTCCCTGTCCAACAGAAAATAGATTCTTCACAGTATTTTCATTTCTGTATGTTCATATAAGCTCCTGCAGGGTTGTTTCACATCTCCAACTCTATTCAAAATATACTTAGAGAAAGCCTTGACTATATGGAAAAGAAAATGCGAAGGCATGGGAGTACCGGTACGGAACCAATACCTATATACGTTAAGCTTTGCAGACGATCAAGTAGACGACCTCAGCTACATGATGAAGAAACTGCAAGAATAATATACCAAGGCCGGCCTAGATATTAACCTCGCGAAAACAAAGTACCTATCTGCAAGTGAAGAAGACATAGAAGATCTACAGATTGAGGACAATGTAACAATCAAAGGAAAGGATAAATTTAAATACTTGGAGTTTATAATCACGAAAAAGGCAACAACAGAGAAAGAAATTACTCAAAGATTAGAACAAACAAGAACAGCAAACCGACAACTTAACTCAGTCTAGTGGGATAGACACCTAAATACGAAAACAAAAACACAGATTTATAAAACATTAATGCGAAGTATTATGACATATGAGGCTGAAAATTGGATTATAAACAAGGAAAACAGCAGTAAGATAGTAGCAACAGAGATGGAATTCCTGAGAAGATGCTGCAGAGTAACAAGAATGGATAGGAGAAGTAATGACGAAATAAACCAAAGAACATCAAAAGAAACAAACATACTAACATATATGGCACAAAAAAAAACTAAAGTGGTTTGAAGAAGAATTAGCGACAGCCGATGGAAAAAAAGAATAACCGAATGGAGCCCTATACAAAGAAGGAAAAGAGGACAACCCCGAAGATCCTGGAGGAACGAAATATACGACGCCATGAGTAAGAGAGGCCTAAACGGTGGAAAATGGGACAACGGAGACAGATGGAAACGGTTGAGCGAGGGAAGGCAGTGAATACTGTAGAATCATATATATATATATATATATATATATATATATATATATATATATATATATATATATATATATATATATATATATATATATATATATATATATAGGTCAAATTGCTGCTTTATAGATTCTTGTTTTTGTGTATTGTCTTAGGTGTTTGTTCTTCCAGATTATGTCATTAAGAGATCCCGCCGCTTTACTTGCTTTTAAGCTTTGTTGTCGTACTTCATCTACAACATCTCCGTAACTAGTTATATCTATTCCCAGATATCTAAATCTTGCTTCATGCTTTATTATTTTCCCATCAATTTCGATTTTACATCATAGTAGGTATTTAGATGTTATACATTTGGTTTTTTCTGCTGATATTATCATATTGTATTTCTTAGCTGTTGTATTAAAAATATGTGTTAATCTTTGGAGCTCGTCTTCTGTCTCGGTGATTAACATTGGTATCATTATGCGGTTTCTCCATGCGTCTGATATCTTGCAGTGCAATATTAGTTTTTGTATAAGTTTTGTCATCTCTAGGGATATACTTTCGCCTTCGTGTTTTAAAAGTTCGTTAGTTATTGCGTCTGGTCCAGGGACTGTCTATTTTTGAGTGAATTTATGGTTACTTCTACTTCCTGAAAACTGATTTCTATTTCGTATCTTAATTCAGGTACGTTATTGTATTGAATATTATTTTCCTTTGCTTTAAATAGTTCTTTTAGGTATATTTTCCATCCGTTTGTTGGCATGTTATTGTATTCCTTCAATTCTGCCATTTCTTTCTGTTGGTTTCTTATGAATCTCCATATTTGTTTTGGTGTACAGTAGAAGTAGCTTTTCATCCTTTTTGTAAACTGTTTTCAGTGTTCATTTTTTGTTTCCCTTTGATAATCTTTAAGTATTGTAGTGATAATGAGATCGTGACCAGGAGACTTCTTTGAGTTCATTGTAGTGTTAATGGTTTTTTTTCACTTGGTTGATTTTAAAATTTGCAAGTGGTAGTATATCCTGGATTAAACTTTCCAGGAGGTTATAATTATCAATATCTTTTTTAGCATTCAGCCTCGAGGAATGCGGTTGAAAATCGATGGCTAAGCTGTAAACAAACGTTTCAGCCTTTTTCTGGTCAGTTCTGGCCAGATACCATATATCTTACGGATTGGGAGATTTGCAGTTTGAGTATATTTTTTTTTGTAACCTTTCATAATAAGTATTCTGTTGACTCGGTCACCGTTAGGTTTTTAAGGTAGTTGTTTATGCTCAATATCTAGCGATTGTTAAGAGTTTTCGCTTTCATCGTTGCTCTGTTAAGTATTGCCTTAATTACTATTTATAACTGGGAATAAGCCACAATTAAAGATAAAAATACGTTTATTGACGTTTCAATTTCCAATTCGGAAATCGTTCTCAAAATACAAATAGTAAATTAAACAAATTTTGTTTTTTTGTTACATAGTGAAAAAATTCTTCTAATAATTTAATTTTATCTGACTCATTTATATTGACAATTCAGACATACATTATGCATTTTAAAGTAGACGACTTTAAAATGATATTGCCAATATTGTTGAGTTGCGCTCCTGGGACGACTTTACTTATAAGATAGTTCATTCGATTACATGAAATCAACTTTAACTTGAGAATATCCGCCAGAAAAAATCATAGCATGTAATTCGTCTTTAAAAAGACAAACACATGACATGATGACAGTAAAATTCTCCTGTTAGTGATTCCATAGTAAATTATGAGGGAAAAACCAGGAAAAAAACCTCATAATACTATCCCGACATTGTAAGTATTTGTTCGTGAATTTAGTTTACCTTCAACAAACATCAAAATTCTGATTTTATATGTTACGTTATTTAAAAAACATAAATGATATATCCTCTATATCAGTGGTTCCCAACGGGGGCGGTACCACCCACCGGTGGGCGTTGAAGAGAGATAAGGGGGCTTTTTGGGTCCAAGGAAAATTTGGGGGCGTTAAGGAACAGCTGCCGCCTCCCTAAAGTAACTCATTGCCTCTTTGCTGCTAACAACTTTTAACAATCCGAAAATATAAACGAAATGCACAAAATGGCACATT